TCATTGAGTCGACTTTGCAACCCGAGCAGCTCGTACAAAAAAAAATTTAAAAATCTTATGCCTGCCGTGATGGACACATTTTGACAAAGATGACACCAAACAACAAACAAAGTCAAAAACGAAACAGCTTCAGAAAACAAAGTCAACACCACCAGTCTGTTTCAATACTTGAAGCACAATCATATTGCAAAATATCTTATGGGCAGGGATAGCTCAGTAGGTAGCGTGGTCACCCCATGATCGGAAGGTCGAGGTGTTCGAATCCACTGAACAGCTACTCTGAGGTACCCCTGAGCAAGGTACCGTCCCTACACACTGCTCCCCAGGAGCTAGATTGGTGGCTGCCCACTGCTTCACTGAGTGAATGGGTTAAATGCAGAGAGGAATTTCCCCACGGGGATCAATAAAGTATGCATTATTATTATTATAAAAACCCCACCTTGACAGATAGATAACACAAAGTAGCAACACATTTATAGTACAAATGTGCAAATGTTGTCAGTGAACAATCATTCAGTCAATTCAAGCCAAAATGTAATTGGGATTTTAATTTAGCCCTAGCAAGCTCTAACTTCAAATCATTCTGTCCTGTTATTATTATTATCATTAGTAGTAGTAGTATTTCATTTAACAGTAGCTCCACCACCAGAATTTTAATCTGTTGCTATGGCAGCGTGCAGTCTGATTTTTCTGTTAAATGGATAACAATATTCGGTTACTGTGACCTCTGACGAAAAACCCTCACCCAATATTCAACCATCCCTGCAATCTTGAAAACTACATCAAATTAAAATGGCTCCTGACAAAACATTTTAAAATCCCTGAGAAAAGAATTTCCAGCAAGAGCACAGAGGAACTGTTTGTCTCTTGACTGGAGATCTATTATCCAAAAAGCTTTTTATTTCCAGTGGTGCAAGCATTTTTGCCTTGTGGAAATTGAACCTCTAACCCCATTAGTGTTATGCAAAGTTGCACTTGACCACAACATAGTGCACAAACCCTGTGATCTACGCCACTGTTTACCAACATTCAGTGTGGGACCCAGAGAAGTTGCAGCTCTGTGAGCGCTACTTGCATGGTAGCCTGTGACCTTAGGCTGTGAGGTCAGCTGCTATTGACGTTTATCTCGCCAAATCCCTTAGGGCTTCAAACAAGACCTAATCAGACTAACCACAACACCAGAACCTCCCCTGCATTTATGTTGTAGCTACACAATTACCTCTCATAAGGAATCTATTAGCCCCTGTTGAGCATGTTCGCATTAAAAAGGGAGGTGGAGAGGAGATGTGGCTATGGGAATAAAGGAAAATCTATTACATGTGAACACCACGAAGCAGAAAAATATCTGTTTTCCTCAACTGAATTTCCGATTTATCATTCATAGCAGAAATCCAACAGCTGGCAGGCTTAAAATTTTGAAACTACAAAACACCTGGTGTCTTTTAGTCCTTTCCCTTGGGGGAAAACCTTCGCCACACAGGGAGTGATGTGTTTGTTTTTTAAAAAACAAACAACAAAAAACTGAGGAGATAGTGGTTGGTGTGATCACCAGAGCAGCAGAAGAAAAAAGAGAAAAGATATTGTATTGAGTTTTTTAACTGAACAGAAAAAGGTCAGAGAGAAAACATTGAAAGCATTAACAACAATATATGGACAAATTAAAACACAAGAATGAGAACACTGCTACTGTCAGTATACTTTAAAGTTGTGTCCACATACCTTTGACGGTATTATAAATACTACCTAATAATAGCCTGATTCATTCATGTGTGGTAAAGGCCAGCAAGTGCTTATCTCTCTAAGCCCAAAGACAACACCCCATCCTGATCTGATGATGGTGGTTGAGCTAACCGGTACTGCTATTGGCTAAAATGAAGGACATGATATTTCGATCTGCTCTGCATTGTCCCCTTTTTTCTGATGATGTTGCACTGTTGCTCTCCTGTATGGTAGCAAGCTCTTCAGCATGAATTTTGCTGCACATGCAAGTGCGTAAACAAGGAAAACTATTTTTTTGCGACCATGACTGACTCAAGCTGTAACGCTCTGAGAAGCAAAAAGATTAAAAAGAAGAACCTCGTCTCTGTATCTCTACTAGGATTGTGCCGATGGATGATGACGATATCCATCAGCACTAGGGATCGGCAACTGTCAAACCAGTGGTGATAGTTTGCTATAGTTTTATGCTTTTCCACTTACAAAATACTTGAATCACAGTAATGTTTTTCACACCAGTTGATATTGATATATATCATCATATAAATCAAATCACTATTTCTGTCAAGCTTAAAGATTCCTTTTTACTCCTTAGATATGAGGTTAATTTAATTTATTTTTGTCAGAATTTGAACATGATAAATATACTGCAAGACATTTACAACTGTAGGTGTATATATAATAAACTAAACTCTTAATTCCAACCAGTCAAAGGATTCAAATGTTGCAGAAGCATACAAACAAAACGGGAAACTAACTCCTTTGGTCAATTCCAAACAAATAACAAGAACATGATATGAATGCAAAATAAATCTCAAGAGACTACTCTGTATTATTTCCCTTATGGTCCAGGGTAAGCAAGCAATCAGCAAATTTAATGGATACTTTAAAAAATGTACAGGAAGTGCATCACTGTCTCAGTGACATAGACAGTGAGGCTCATTTATGGATGTACAACTTAACCACAAATCCAATCTGGCAGCAAACTAGAAGAAGACACAGCTATTCAACTGTCTCTCTATGCCTCAGCTGTGAAAATGCCCTCTGAAAGAAATGACTTGGGCCAGGGAGTTGGCAAAGAGTGTCAATTACTTTAATCAGCCACTTAAATTCTACATGTGCTTACTGGCACCATGTCTTTTCAGTATAGTAGTCTGCTGCATTTGCGAAATCACTGTCTCTTTGTGTTATCATTTATTATTTTATCACCAAGCCCTACTTGCAACACAGACGCCACATGTCTGCAGTTTGTGCAGAGCCTATTGTCCAACCCTAATCGCTTATTTTAAAAGCTAGAGTGCCCAGGTTAAATGTAAGATTAATTAGTACAATTAAGGACATAGTCATTTTATTCAACAAGCTTTATCACTATTTGGATCAAGCAGCTTTAGAAAAATAACACTATTGCTTCTGCAGGTGTTTTAATCAATAAGGAGATGAACAGAAGTATTCAGTTGAACTCACACCAGCAAATAGCCAATTCTCCAAATCAGACCCAAAAGTTTTTGTGTGCAGCATGCCGAATAAAATAACATAAAAAAAAACCCTTAAACAATCAACAAGTGTTATTGAAAAATGCTGACAACCAAGGTATGGGGTTACCATCTAATACATACCCTGATATTAAAAACTGATTTTTATAGGACTGATTTCAACCAGGGGATTTGGTTTTATTTTGATTTTATAATGAGCCTTCCCTCTAAAATTTTACATTTTTAAAGTGATTGATTTTCTATCCCCATCAGAGCAATGACTCTGCTTATCTTATCTTCAATGTTTTTACCCAAGATCACTTTCAACATGTAAGAAAAGTGGTTGTGCCCGCATTGCCACGAGACTTTAGTACACAAATCACAGATGACTTGACCGGCATAAAGTTAGACAAAAAAATGTAACACGCACTAACAAGTACGTGTGCATGTGCACATGTATGTACATGTGCATTTCATATTCCTGGGAATTTCAAAACAGCACTCTCCACCTTGAAGACTCTATGCATCTGTTATCATTTTACAAGTTGCCTGTAACTCTGCGAGTACAAACCTCTCAAGCACAATGTGCCCCACTAAGCACCTCATTACAGAAGAAAGGTTCTGTGTATCCCGCTAAGGTAATAGATGGGAGGTAGGATCCTTTAAATGAAATAAATAACACTGCAAAGTGGCAGAAATTACGGTTTCTGCATTGTGTTTTTCCTCGGGACAAAGGAGACCAACAAGCAGGTAAGATCAGAAGAGCTAGGCAAAAAAAAACAAAAAAACAGATGTACAAATAATGCAACAAAACCATAATATGACAAATTACCAGCTCATTTTCTTCATTTTAGCATTAACTTTCTGATGCCCTGGTTGCCTTGGCATGAAAAGACTACAGAGACTTTAGCACTAAAAATAAAGCAAAACAGCTATATAAACATATAATAATTAAGTCAAGGAAACCACTCTCTGCGCGGGTGGAAACATCCCAAGAAATATGTCCTGCTCTTCCAGCGAGTAAAACATTTACCTCTTCTTATTTAAAGCAAGCCTAACAGTGTGTTATTAAATTGAAACACATAGGAAACACAAATGATATGATGGGCACTAAGGACTGAGAATGAAAGACGCACAGGTTTCAGGATAGTTAAAGTTTACTTTGTGAAAAACAAACACTGAAATTAATCACTGGATGGTGTAGCTTTGACCTTTTAGTGGCTCATATCTGCTAATGCATATTTAAGACATAAAATAGAATGGGACAGCAGACTCAGACAACATGTCACCTTACTGAAGTCTATGCATGTCTACTCTGCTCCCCTTGGCTCCATGCTAATCTGTCCCTTTGTCTTTTCCCTGCTGTCTCCTCAGCACCAGAGACTGACAACCTCTGAGAAGGAAAGTATGCAACCCCGTAAATTATTGATGTGTCTAAAGCCACATCAATAATCCGCCTGCTGTTTTGCACGCCAGGCTAACACATGTTCATTTTAATGCAGTGTAATAAAGGATAGGGATTTGCGCATTGGCCCTGCTGCTGGGCTGCAGGGGAGGCGAACATACACATGTAGAATGTGGAGTAACAATAACACAACACACAAAACGACACCGGGATGAGGCGAGTGGAGAAGCGGCAGAGCTTCACAAATATCCCGAACACGGCACAGCGAGCAAACAAAGCGAAAAGCTTTTTTTTTTAAAATATACAGATTTCATTTTGTTTGCTCGTGTTTAACTGATAAGAATCGCCACGCACGCTAAGCGAAGCTGTGATGCACCACAAAACCAAGCCAGTGAGTTCCGTCTTACCTGATGTTGCATATCAACCTTCACTTTTGTACAGTAGCAGAGAGGTGCCCAGATGTTGCAGCCAGGTCACTAACTAGTGGAGCTAAAGGTGAACAATTTTCCCCCGCTTTGAAAAACTTTGCCCTCTGTATAAAACAAAAACTGTAAACAGAGAAAGAAAGAAAAAAAGACAAGTGAATTAAGCAGGACTGTCTAACGGTCAGTCGGAGAGGTGGGAGTTGGGTAACATTACCGCTGACGTGCCGTTATTTCGTGCATGGAAACACTGTAGCGCCAAACGTCATTCTATAAATCTGGCGATTTTAACGACCTGACGTGCTCGAGGTAAACATGTCCAGAGGAAGGGGCTTTGGACTTTTTTCCACAGTCATTTCACGGGCTCGTGTGTGAAGAGCAGTAGTTACACATGATGCAACACTTCATTCAAACTAAACTTTGCAACACGTCCACGCCGCTTTGCCATTAAACGCTGTTTTGTTTGCCCGAATAGGACTTGGAGCGTACAACCAAGTGCTTACGTGTAGCCAGAAAATCTATCAAACTGAGCATTTGCGATACCACCGGAGGTTACATGGCGTGTAAATGTGTCGGTACACATTCAACTGACACATAATTAAAAAGACTCTTTTTTTTGCCCCTTTCCTTTTCCCTCACACACAAGCGGGCTGAGCCTGGTCGAGGACCGGACTCGGGGTAGTAAAAGAAAAAGAAGACAAACAGCGGTACCAGCGGTCACACACCGCCAAAGTGTCCTTTAATTTTCACACGCCACGCTTATTACTGAATTGTTGTGTTACAGTAGCGGGACGGCTGTGAAAATGGCCTCTCTACAATGGCATTACACCTAGCCTCACTGGACGCATTGTTTGTGTCAGCTGCATGTCAAAATAATGCAGACCGCTAGAGAGCAATGACAACAGCTAACGTTAACGGCAGCACCACTTTGCTGGCCTGAAAAGCGCGTGTACCACTCGGCTTGAAAAGCAGTTTTAAGCTAAACGAAACGAGAGGGGGGAAATGGCCTAAGTATAATGTTACAAAAGTGTTATAACACGTCAGACAGCGCGAGGCACGCCCAAAGGTACGGGAAAGTCTAAAATAACTTACATTAGTCCATGCGAAAAGCAACGTAGGCAGACGCTCCGTTAGTCCAGTTTTTTTCAGATCTGTATCAACATAGATGGACAGCACTTCTCCGTAGTCCCGCCCCACATGGTTTAGCAGTCGGGCATATCTGTACATATATATAATCCCCCTCCCAGATGTCCAATCACAACTCTCCACTCTGGAATAGTGTCTTTTCCCATTGGTCGAGAAGCTTATCAGTCTCGTGCTGAGTTTCCAGCTGTCTCCGTACCATATAGGGGTGTGTCGTGACGTAGCTGACGGTCCGATAGATAGTAAACAATTGCAGAAATAAACCTTAAGAATATAAACTGAAATAAGGGGTAAAGTCGAAAAAAGTAAGGGCAGCTTTTAAAGTTCAGGGCGTTTAGCTGTATGAATCTATAAAGATGTATACTAAATATACTACACATGTTTTGACTAATTCACGGGTGTGTGTATGTGTGGGTGGGTGGAGGGATCTGTTTTAATACCGTTGCATTTGAAGCTTAAATGTGTCCGCATTTCTCATCATGAGTCATATATGGTTCACCTATACATAATATATGAAAGTTCCAGCTTCTTCTAACCTTTGTGCTCCCTCTGTACTGGAAACTGGTGGTAGCTGATAGTATACCCATGATGACGGGATAACGGCTTAGCTTAGAAAACATTTTGACCGACTCGCCTATTGGTATGTGTCCATAATTTACCGTATATTGGGACACACGCCAAAGCTAATTTGTTTACTGGGTGAAAGAATTCTGTGGGAATGATAGGGCCCTGTGGTGCTATTCTGTGTCACCCCTGGGCGGTTACTGTAGCACATCAATCACCACATCGCCCACTCTGTAATTAGAACTGATTCTCTTCTTTTAGCTATCTCTTGTCATTTCCCTGGATGGCTCAGGGTATCACTCTGTATGACTTGGTTTATGTTATTTATTTATTTATGTTATTTATGTTATTTATGTTATTTATTTATTTATTTATTTATTTATTTATTTATTTATTTATTTATTTATTTATTTATTTATTTATTTTTTGCTTGATCTCATTGTTTTATGAAAATCCCATGAGCTGGATTTCAAACCTTCCAACCTATGCAAAGCTGGCACTGACAACAAGCCAGTTACATAAATCCATAAGTTTCTGTACATGTGGGACTGAAAGCACTGATACCATGTGAGCATATTGATGGCTTGAACTTTTCTGTAGAAGTAGGAATTTTTTAGCATTTGGCATAAGGAAACTTGTTGTGCTTTGCTTTTGCAGCAGACATGCTAACTTTCTCTGCTCTATGCCCCTGCAATTGCTGATAGACCTCCTGTCTTAATACACCTACATGCTTTACGTGTTCTTAGATGCACTGTAACATTGAGATATTTCTCTACAGAAGTAGCCACTGTGGTATCTCGATGCATTTACATGTCTTTGCGTCACAGTGTGATATGCATGCGAGCCTAAGCCACTTCTGCATCCTGTACACTATAGACCCATGCTGCAACTTACTGAAACATTTTCCACAAGTGTCATTTATCAGTATGTTGTCACCATTAATGCTTGATGACACACAGGTTGAGGCTGCGCAGGTCAGTCTAGCTGCCGGAGGTCAAAGGTATTCACGCTTTCCTGTTTAACCTTTCAATTCAAGTAAACACTAACACATTGCTCTTCTCATTCTTATAGGTGCGACTGAGCATGTCAATACACTATCTCGCTGAGTCATTCGGTCATACAGTTATGTGGCATTATTCTGTCAAAGCCTAATGTCGGCTTGATTACTGCATTGAAAATCTTTACTTTTAAGCTCTGCGCCATGAGGATAGTCAGCAGTGAATGGCACTGTAAAGGTCATTCGAGCTGATGACTGCAGATTCTCATACTTCTATTCATGTCACTCTCCCATTTTTAAGAGCAATTGCATTGCATTGCCTACTTGTAGTTTAGTTGTCATTTTCTGCATATAAGGAACAGGCCACCTTGGTTAAAATGATCTGTATGGTTGGATATCACATAAGGGAGGGAGATCAAAGCTTTTCTATTTGTTTCCAGCTTTTTCATTTAAATATTAACTGGGTTAGACAATCTCCATTTACTAACCAAATATGGATGTCAAAAAACTAATGTTTACTGAAAAATATAATGGAATCCTTCAAAAGTGGATATGTGGTTCCTATCGCCAAATAGCCTTTGTAACTGCAATAAATGCATTATTCAAATTTACAGCAGCATGGCTGCTCCCATTTGGCTGATAACAGTAATGTTTCTTCTCTCCTCCCCCCCGCCTGACTTTCTTATCTCAATCAAGCGGTGCATGAATCAGTGCAGCCAGCTTTAACAGGGCAAATATATATGCATGTACATTCATAAACCAATATACGTGACAATCATGTGTACGGGATATTTCCTCTGTACAGCGTTGCCTGTGTGTGCATGTGCTGGAATCTAGGCCATCCCTTGTTGCTTTGTGTCTGAGAGGCGGATCAGTCTATACGATGCAAGGCATATGGGCGTGTTTATGTCAGGGGCATGCGCACAAGGGACTTAGTCTTCCTCTGGGTTTGTGTGTGCATGAGAAAGAGAACAAAAAAGAGAGAGCGAGAGAGAGAAAGTGAGCGAGTATCACATGAGATGCCCGGATTTTCTCGGGGTGTTTTCACTGTGCACACACACTACAGCAATAGGAGCAGAAGAAACACGAGGACTCCTCATAGCTCTCTCTTCCTCAATAGTTTCCTTCCCAGAACTCGGAATGTCTCCATCTCACTTTAATGCCCCCACCTACTAACCAACGCACACACACATACACCCACAGCACTCTCTCCCACTCACAGGGTGAGTCTAGAAAACAGCTGGAAAAGCAAATAGTTGCAGGCAGCCCTGGCCCACTGGCTCTTATATATGACTGGACCTTTACTTGGATGAATGCAGTCCTCACACTGGTTTTTCAGCTGCAGTCAGAAGGCACAAAGACCAGTGCAATTGCACAAACCTAAAGGAATGCTGCAGTACTTGGCAAACACACTCTTTGATCAGCTTCACAGTGTGCAGCCAGAAGATTGGTTGCTGTGTCCCCTGAGTGAGCCACAAGATTCTCAGGGATGTTTTGGCACCTACACGGCCGCACACAGGAACACACTGTCCGGGGAAAGGAGCAGTCTCAGTAACAATCAGGCCCTTTCCTCTGTCCCCATTTTAAGATTTTTTTTATGCTCCTTGGCTCTGCCTCATCCTTCAGCTCTTCAACAATGTCATCACAAGCCTCCAACATCAATAAACTGGACCCAATATTCTCAACAAATTTGCTGCATTCTTTCCATTCAGACACAAGGAAATTTGAGAGCTGAGCAAAAGTGGAACATGGGGTCAGTAAGTCAGCAAATTGTTTTTGCCACTCCTGCATAGACCAGGCTTTGTTAGCATAGTCCGCTCTGATTAGAATTTACAAACCTGAACTGTAATGTTATTGGAACTAGATTACAGTCATGTAAATGGAAATCCATTTTACAGTTTTATTCAACCAGAAAACAGTTAAAAATAAGGCAACAGCGACTTGAAATGTGTTACATTTCATGGTAATCCATCTTAATGTTGAGACATTTCAGTCGTAATCACAAATGTCATTCTTGGGGTAAGACTAAAGCCCATGAATCACCAGGGTAAGCAGGACTGACTTATTTATTTCCTCTGTTTATAAATATCAGTATAACATATTACTCATGTCCGTATTATAACAAGCCATATTTCTTGTGGACAGTCTTCTTAGCTAAGTTCTTCTGCTCTGTAATGAATGCGGTCCAGCAAGAGTGCAGTGTAGAAATGCAGCAAATGTGTTATCAGTGTAGCTTTGTCAGAAATCAGGGAGAACCTTACAGAAATCAGAGCCGCCGTGCAATCTGTCCATCCATCTGCCATACTCAAGTCTGGCACTGCGTTTCAACATAATTATGAAACTCGAGGAGTATTTCTCTCATACACAGCAGATAGTGCCTATTCAGCACCTTGCCCATTGTGCCCAGAACACACTGTTAAAATTCTTACAAACCACATAAAGGAAGTTTTGAATCCTGAGATTAGTGGTACCAAGTAAAAGCTCTGACCGCCAAAATCCCACTGACGCTGCAGTCCACTTTACGGAACATAAACAAGAACCAATCGAGCCGCAGAAAATGTGAAACTTGACCTGTTGTTTCTTTTCAGAGTTTTAAGTTTCCTTTTGATGACATGTTTTCTACATGCGCCAGTTTTACTTACTCATCTGGTTACATGTTATGTAAATGGTTGGCTTTTTTTTTTTAACAAAGAGGAACTGATTCTGTTTATTTGACTCTGTTTTTAAAAAAGTGGTTTTTGTTCTGTTTACAAAATACAAAAAGCATTTTTCAAATGTGAGATTTTTCTTGTCTCACATGTCTGACACATCAGGTATTTATTTTACCATTTCAAACAATTTGCTTCTTCCTTTTTAGATGCTGTTTTTTTCACCTTCAGGTTCCAACAGGGACATAGAATGTGCTCTATACAAGCAATAATAATATTGATAATAATAATAATGAAAAAATAAACAAAAAAGCACACACAAAAATATTTAAATATCTCTTAAAATTGCATTTGAGCTTTTAATTAGTTGTAGTAAATGATTCCCTTAATCATTTAAATTTATTGTCAATGGAGATTTTTTGTAGAAACCTGCATTATATTTTATATATGTTTCAACACAATTTTACAATAAAATGGAATGAAATATCTAAATCACAATACTTCATAATATCATTTACTTTAAATTCATTAATATCATCAACAATTTTCCCTGTTTGTGGATATGAAAAGGAAAGAACCAGCAGAACACATGCAACTGGTTTCCCCCAAAAATAATGATTATGCTGAAGACATCAATGTCTCGAAACTACTGTGTAAATGTGATGCAAATATCTTTATAGAGTTACTGTAACAGTCATTCTTGCACTTTCCTTTTTCTCAGAATACATCCGTGTCTCACGTTTCCTCAGGAAGTGATGCGCTACAAAATATGTTGCCTGTGTAAACTGCACATTTAGACACACTCAAGCACTCCTTTCTGTGCCGCTGGAGCTCATTTTATTTGTTCACAATCTGAGAAA